TTTTTCTAAGTCCAAGGGGCATAACTCTGTAAAAAATGGTGCAATCATACCCAAAACAGAACTTGGCCTAGATATTCATGTGATATATCTGTATACCAAATTTCATTTCAGTAAGTGCAATGGTTGTGAAGAAAATGAACAGAAACTGCAAAGAATTGAAATTTTTCTAAGTCCAAGTGGCAGAACTCTGTGAAAAATGGTGCGATCTTACTCAAAACAGAACTTGGCCTAGAAATTCATCTGATTAATCTGTATACAAAATTTCATCTCAGTATGTGCAACGGTTGTGAAGAAAATGAACAGAAACTGCAAATAATTGAAATTTTTCTAAGTCCAAGGGGCATAACTCTGTGAAAAGTGGTGCGATCATACCCAAAACAGAACTTGGCCCAGATGTTCATGTGATATATCTGTATTCTAAATTTCATCTCAGTATGTGCAATGGTTTTGAAGAAAATGAATGGAAACTGCAAATAATTGAAATTTTTCTAAGTCCAAGGGGCATAACTCTGTAAAAATGGTGCAATCATACCCAAAACAGAACTTGGCCTAGATATTCATGTGATATATCTGTATACCAAATTTCATTTCAGTATGTGCAATGGTTGTGAAGAAAATGAACGGAAACTAAGTGGACCGACAGACCGACGGACCGACAGACCGACAGACAGCAGCAAAGCAATATGCCCTCCCTTCTTCGAAGGGGGGCATAAAAAAGTGTGATTTTTACTTTAAAATTGGCTAAATTTTCCCCCGGATTTTCAAAAATATTAACTATATTTGTCACACTTGGTTGATAGAATTCATAAAAAATAATTTAATAGATATTTCAGAACCAGCATAACATATTTCACTGCAAAAAACAGCTTTGTGTGCAACCAGCATGGAAATATAGGCATCCAAAATTAACAGTACTGTTATTGTTCAATTAGAAAAAAACTGACCATTTTCGTCTAAAAAACCTTCCTCCATAAAATATAGTCCCTAGCTTAATTCTACTTGAATGGAATTTAATCGCAGTTTTTTCATTGAATAAAGTTTAATTTGCATTGTAGAATTCAGTTTTATTGTTAGAACCTAAACATGATGCTTAATTTTATGAATAGAGGACCTGCGCAAAATACGCTCAAAATATCAGGATTGAACGTCCTAAAAATAAATAGTAGTCTTCCTTGGGCCATAGGAAGTTGAGTAAAATTTCACTCTAGAAATTCTTTGTGAAGCAATATGATTTATATATCCTGCAACTACCCCTTGCATTGACCTAATAAAGGTAACGTAATAAACCAAAACTTTATCCGGTCACTGCCCTAAGAAAGCCTCGTGCATGTATTCAGACATTCTAAAAGCATTGTGACTTTTATTGAGTTTACCAATATGGACTTTGATCCAAGACCAGATCACCTTAGAAATGCTTACAATGACTATTTTAGAAACCTTTGTTTAAATTTTTCAGGCATATCCAATATGCCTATATTTCAGCTCTTTGAACCTGCTAATGCGTATGATGTTGCACATGACCATGATAATTTGAAGCTTACACCTCAAGATAACTTTTCTTGAAAGAAATGGCCTACTTAATATTACCCAGGAACGAATTAATGCTATAGAAGAAAGAACCAGGGGTCAGGCAAATAACTCTACATGGAAAAATGAAAGAACATTGAGGTTACCATCATCAATGTATAGAAGAATTTGCAAAGCTACGGAGCGCACGGATATGATAAAGCTGGCTAATTCTTTAACAGTTGTGTCAGAGATTAAAGCCTTTGGAACATGGTAGAAGACACGAGAGTAGTATAAGGCGTCTAGATGGGTGGGTCAACTGAGTGCACTTTTGGAGCTGTGGGGGATAGGTGGGTCAGGGGAGTGCAGCCCCTGGAGGGGATAGGTGGGTCAATGGAGTGCAGCCCTTGTGGGGGATAGCTGGGTCAATATTTAGGACATGGCCCCTGGGGATGGCCTGGTCAAGGGAGTGCAGCCCCAGTGGGGGACAGCCGGGTCAATTCAGTACATATGTTGCATCATCTTTTTATATCTATTGCATCATCTTTTTTTTATACTTATTGCATCATCTTTTTTTATATCTCTTGCATCATCATTTTGATATTTATTGCATCATCTTATTATACCTGTTGCATCAACTGTAAGGGGGCCGTTTGCAAAAAATGTGCTTACCTATGCATTGTGACGTTATCCAATGTATAAATACGGCTTTTCTCCTACTTTCAGCTCATTCTACAGTCAGATCCAGCTCCCTGCCTGTGGGGGGGGGGGGGGGTCATGGATTCTACTAGAGAAAAACAGTTACATGCTCAGCGATTATTAGAATGGAAAAAAAGGGAAAGAGAATTAGATCGAATTCTTTATGAGAAAAGAGAGCAAGAGTTAAAGCTCCGGGAAAAAAATGCTAAAATATTACAGAGAAGAGCTCAATTAGAACAACAACGACAACTACAATGACAATTACGGGAGAGAGAATTAAATCAAATTCTTGATGAAAATAAAGAGAATTAAAACTTAGGAAAAGAAATGCCAGACTATTACAGAGAAAAAGCTCAACTTGAAAAACAACGACAGCAACAGCAAAGGACTACGTGAGGGATCAAAATTACCCATTCATTCACCACCGAAACCCAAGGCCATATCCCAGTATTATCAAGTCATAGTGAATGAAAGGGTGCACTCTAGAAAATTTAAAGCTCAAGAGGAGTTTTACACTGATTTTTAACGAGTTTCCAGAGGAAGAAAACAGAGGATTTGTTCGGCGATTATTCAGACACATATTACAAACCTTCAAATCGAAAATGCAGTGTAATCCCAACGATTACCTCCGCCTGAACATACAGTGGCTGGAACGTTATTGTTGACAACTTACACAAACGATCACGTTACACGCACGATTCCGCACGATTAACGCACGATTAAACCTGATACACGAACGATCCTTCACGTTCATGATTCTACACGTTACACGATCTTACACGATTGCTAGCGCAAACGCACGATTCTCCACGCAAAATAGATCAAATTATTTAGGAATCTATATTTCGAAAACGAAATGCGGATTTATATTGATTTTATATTCAAAGAATTATCAATAAATATATTATTTCATCGACTTTGAAAAAAAAATGGAAATTGATATTTCTTGTAATAAATACATGTATGATTTTTTATTTAATATTTTAGATAATAAATAATTATTTAGATAATTATCCGACATAAAAAAACGGACGTTCTATCAGAGGAAAGTAGTACCTGGACCGTAAAATTTGATTGAATTGGATTTCATAATATGTCAATGGGGATACGATTGGGAAAACAATGGCAGCATGAAATGACTATTAATGACATGAAAAGTTATATCTATACATGTCTTCATTACTTCAAATTGTTTAAGAATCTCTAAAATATGAAAAACGACATTGCAAATTATTGTTTTACTTTAAAAATTAATTAAAAGTAAGCTACAGAGATAAACACTGTTGAACAAAACCCCGAAAATCATACATGTGCATGACGTGCAATTACATTCGCCGACTAAACATTTATGCAAGGTTCGAAAAATATTTCTTTATTTGTAAAAATATTTCTTTGAGATTATTTGAAAATTAAATCTTACCACATGTAGTAGAGTGCGCCGGAACATATTTTTCCGTCAGTCCGGGCTTTAATTTTAGGCATTGTTAACGAGTTCCCCTCACATGGCAGGTGTTGTTAAATGTTCTTTGCTGCCTATTTAGCCACATGTTAGGTAAGTTCTACTCGATGATTTTATATCTTAGTATGTTCTAGACTAAAGTAGTTATGTATATCTTCTATGTAATTAGCTGTCTTAGGTTACAACGTAGAAATAGGTTGCATAGGTAGTCTTTCTTTACAGTGTCAGTTTGTATTCCCGCCATTATGAATTCCTTTGTTCGGTCGTAACATTATATGTATTAAACTAGTCCCAGATACTAGTAGGTTTTAATGTTATTTGAATAATACTCATTTATAATTCTAAATACCTTGTTGTGATTGGTAGCTCGATTGTGTTATTTAGCAATTATTGCATGTCCTGTACAATCCGGAATGGTCAATTCTAATGTATAATCAGACCATGTTAGGTATATCCGGTAAGGCGCAATATTTGGGATCACTTGTCGCCACTCTCTCAAAAGTCATCGTAAGTTATCAATGAGAAATGTTTGTTCTTGTGGATTTCTAGTCAAAGGTCTTGCTAGTCATAGTTACATGGATGATGTACTGTGTTTTTATTATTACACATTAATAATGTTTTGTTAGGAATCAAAACACTAAGGGCTGTACTATACTTTAACTAACATAACAGTAAGCTGAAGTAGCATATGTATTTATGTAGATTTACTTATACTTATCTTAAGGATATGTAAGTTAAGTCTGTTTATATACCAAATTAATTATAGATCATATGCACCATAGTACATGTGCCATCTAGGGTACTGAGCCCCCTATAATATTTCTTATTTGTATCTTACATGACACCACTACTTGTTCACTCCATTGTTCTATGCATGTTATTTTATGATTAAGTGCAGTCATATGTGTACAACTTGCTGTTCTTTCTGTTGCAGGTTTCCATGTACACTGCCACCTTTTTTTTGCATTAATAAAATTATGAAATCTGAACCAACTCGTCCACACACAATTAGCAGCAATCAAGAATGATCTTCAGAAAAATATAGTAAAACCTCTTAATACGGTTTATCACAAGAAGTCCCGCTATACGAGAACATAATATTGTACGACTTACTATATTGCTTGTTCACAAGAATGGTTAGTTCGTTCCGCACTCAATTATGTAAACTGCGCTTCATTCCTTTTCTTTGGATTAAAAAAATTAAATATAAACAAAATACTTGTTAACATTCCGATAAAAACTTACACGATGCACGAACGATTCTACACGATTGGTTTGTCAACAATAACGTTCCAGCCACTGTACGCCACAATTCTCTGGAATCAGAGATTTCACCCCTACTAATGTGTTCGGATGATATTCTTTATCGCTGTTAAGTGTAGCGTAACATCCGAGTGGTCGATTTGACCTTTAACGAGACCAGTCTCGAGACCGTGCGAGATCTGCACCAGTTCCTGTAAGATTTAGACAGGAAGTAGATGTGTGTTTTGGGATTTATGCATTTAATGTAAGTACAGCTCATTTTATTTGCCTTCATTCACTTGAACATTTTTTGCACATAAAATTTGATTCAACTAGTCTTCATTTCTCGAATTCTATCACCTCAAACACATGAAACGAGAAACATTTTATCAGGTGGATTTAGAGTTATCTTCCTTTGTTTACATGCCTCCACGTGGTTGGAAAAATAAAAATCTTTTGGTGCTATAAAAATATATAGGGCTTGTCAATGCTTTTAAATTATTATACTGAATTATTTATGTTGTTCTTTGTGTTGTGAAATATTTTACCCCAGTGTTAAAAGAAGTGAAAATGATTCAATGTGCAGAAAATGTTATAGTCCGTTTTACTTCTTACAATAGCAGATACACAATTTCTCAGTTACTTCAATGAAATATACATGAAATAAACGTGTGAAGAAGTGCTCAATTAAAAGAATATAGAATGAATGTGACATTCAAAAGATTAGAAACTGTAAATGACAATGTAAACAACCCTCAAGTGATCAGCTGGTGATTATTATTCATGCGCGGATCTAGAAATTTTTCAGGGGGGGGGGGGGTGAAGAGAAAAGGAGTTTTTAATATATTCGATCAATGCATACTATCTCTGCAAGATATATTATTGTTTTCAGCGGCAGCTCACACAAATTGGTCCGACCAAAATAGTTCCATCATGATTAAGTAGATACAACATTATTGTTCATGATAAGAGTGAAGTTGTGTATTTCATACGTTAAAGAAATCAAAAATAACGTCAAAATATTATTAGAAAATCACTTTCCCCCCGAAATGCAAATAAAAAAATATCAATATTCCTACGCTCGCTCCCTCCTCAGCCTTTTTTTTTTTTACATGTTTGATAATAGAGAATATTTAGGTCATTCTTCGATTCATATTTTTTCACCGATGAATTGATAATACTATATCAACAATTGTATTAAGTACATGTTATAGTCTGTTAATTATCATACAATTAATTTCCTTTTAAGAAAAAATAAATCATTCTGTGTGCGTATATTATTAAATGACGGAATTTTCAATCCCTGGCTGGATTCTGCTCACGTGTGTACACTTTGTAAACTGTAGGGGATAAAATGTGTGGCAAAACGAGAACTGGGTCGGACATTCGGGTTCGTGTTGGAGTTCAGCATAGGCTTACCATTTTATATAGAACTTGAATAATGTAAGTAATATCTGCGACGAATACATTAGCATATTTCAGTAATTTTCAAAACAAAAAAGGTTTTCAGTTTAGAATTTTCCGATCTGGTCTTGATTTTCCTAACACGGCCATTTTAAACACAAGTTGTTGCAGATGCAAATGTTAGAACAAACTATATATAGTTCAACAGGGATTGTATAATTTTTATTAATCAGAATTCGTATTCATATGATCTAATTAAGAAAAGAAAAGTTTTGTCTGCCATCGTAACTTCTAGGCAAAACAAAACGTGTTCCTCCGAGCTCGCTGGATGCGTTTAACAGCTCCATCGCACGTGTGTAGATCAAGGCTAATGTTGGTCTTGCGGACACAGGTTCATGTAGGCCTATGTGTACCGTTTATTAGGAGACTGGGTGACCTCACCATGCTCACGAAATTTACACCAGTTCCATAACTAGGCCCTAGACATTGCAGTTTTTTTTAACGTCATTATAAACACTGATAAGCATATTAAATCTAAAAGTCGAATATCTTTGGATATGGGGTAACCCATATCTATTCTTGTTATAACTTACATTTTAAATAAACATGTACATGTAGTTAAATAACTCAATAGGATACAGGGTGCAGTGTGGTTTTAAAAATGGTAGGTTGATCAACCTCTGAAAAAAATATTCGTATCTATAGATTACCTGAAATTTTTTGAAATAGTAAAAAAAAAATCTCTGAACCTGTAAATCCTCTTATGTAAAGATTTCGAAAAGAAGTAGGGTTTCATTTTGTTATCACAACCAGATCTCTTTATATATTACAAATAAGCCTTTCATTGAACATTTTTCTTTAATAAGAACATTATACACCGTAGAAATTAGGGTATTTCTTTCTCTCTCTTATTTTGCAAATCAAAAGGGGGGAGGGAGTGCAGCAGGAACCAGTCCAAGCGCCCCCTAATAAAAAAGTCCCTGTCAAAGTGTCCCCTGATTTTAGTCAAAGTGCCCCTAACATATTTTTCATAGAAAAAAACTGCCACCAAATATTACTTTAAGATTATTAAAATTTCCTTTATCCCAGTCTTAGATGACAAACATACACTTAAACTGTAAAGTACTGGGGTACTAAGCACATGGTCAGTACTAGTAATAAGGATATGGAAATAACGAACAGTATTCAATCTCAACGTCCATTAAACAAATATACAAAACAAGAGCAGAGCAAACACGGACCTCCGAAACATCAGAGGTGGGATCAGGTGCCATGGAGGAGTGAGCATCCCCTGCTGACCGGTCACACCCGCCGTGTGCTCATTGTCATAATCAGGAAATAACGGAAAAAATCCGTAGTCAATTCAGTGTATAAATAATGCACTAACAATTGGTATGAAAAACGTCAGTCAGCATTTCATTCAATGATAAATTGTATTTGCTGACAAGGTCATTGTATCGACCATAGAATTTACGAAATGATGACTTTAAACGAGACTGTTGATATTCTTGTTTCATCAACTTGCCTGTCAATAATTTACCTCGTTTAAGAAATTGTTCATACGTAGAGCATGCTCTTGCGTATCGAATCAACTGAGATATAAATACTCCGTATGCAGGTGATGAAGGTATATTGCTGCATAAGTAAGGGAAGTTGACGATAGAAAAGTTAAAGTCATCACGTTTATCATATAGCTTGGTTGTTAGATTACCATTTGTGTCTTTTTCAAGTAAAATATCCAAGTATGAAGCAGATGTGTTGGACTCTGTGGTATCTTTTATCTCAAGCTCACCAGGATATATCGTGTCGACGTAGGAATGGAAATTATCATTATTAATTGACAATACGTCGTCGATATATCTAAATGTCGAGTTGAAGGCCACAGCAAGTGTTTTTTCTTTTCACGCAAAAGATTTTGCATAAATTCTGCTTCATATGAATATAAAAATAAGTCTGCTAATAACGGAGCGCAATTTGTACCCATGGGAATTCCAATAGATTGTTGGAATACTTGGTCTCCAAAAACCACATAGATATTGTCAATCAGAAACTCAAGCATCTTCTTGATGTCAACTTCAGAGTACTTATGTGTACAATCAGAATCTGTTTTAACAAAATAATTTTTTAAATGACCAATGACGAGGTAAGTAAACTTACGAGTTCCATTTTTGTTGAAGAAGCAGCTGTCAATTATATCAAAAAGCCTGGATTTTAATTTGTCGTGCGGAATTGTTGTGTATAAAGTTGAAAAGTCGTAAGTTTTTATGCTGTTGATTTTTGTAAAGTCTTGTGATTTCAAATTGTCCAAAAGTTCTTTAGAATTTTTAAGTATCCACATCTGATTTACACCACTTCTTGAATATATAGTTGTACAGTACTCTTGAAGTTTTTCCTTCACTACTGTCAATATTTTAGTGAGAAGTAACGAAAGAGGCTTGGTTGAACATATACTGGAACCTGCAATGTATCTTTGTTTGTAAGGATTCTTATGAAGTTTCGGAATCCAATATATATAAGGTAGTTCAAATTCATTTTGGCTCTGTGGAATATTAAAAGTATTCAAAACTGACAGGTGATTTTGAAGAATTTCTTCCTTAGAAAGAGTAGTATATGTATAAGTAGGATTACCACTCGTAGAATTAAATCCAAGTTCTTCTAAAATGCAATTAATATAATGAGCCTTACAAACGAAGACATTGTTGTTACCTGCTTTGTCGGCAGGAACCAGTACGTACTGATCGTGTAATCTATCTAATTCTTTTTTCACTTCTGGTTTATTGAACACAGAAGGATAGATGGTTTTCACTTTGCCCCTCAATCTTTTAATACGTGACTTTAACATGGATCTGATACATTTAATCCATTCTGACAAGGTGTCGATGTCTTCTTTTTCATATCTAGCCCATCGTCTGGCGTAATTTTCAACAGAATCCATAATATTTATGAAATTCTGACGCCAGTTGAAGGATCGGGGTTCCCTATATTTAGGACCTTTTAAAATAAGTGATCTAAGGTCCTCATTACGAACTATATTTACGTCACCTGTAATAACGTGTCCAGCAGGACTATAGTTATAGGGCGAAGAAGAACATGAACACGAAAGGGGATTATTTTTCAGATAGTCGATATCCAGGCCATGTAAAGTATTTTTGTAATTGAAAAGTTTGGAAGCAATGGTCGATGTATATTTGTAGGAAATACAAGGCGTAGTCTTTAACTTGAAATATGGTGGAATATAAGACTGGACCCTTTTGTGATTAAGAATATTACTAATATTTACCGCGTCAATTCCTTTATTGGCATATTGAAGTTTAAGGAAAAGACGGATTGTTTTAGCTGCATTTTCTTCCGTGAAACGTGCGGGTTTAAAAAAGCCTATGATGTGCAATATCCATAATCACAGAACCGAGCCTATATTCAGGTGTCGAGGAATCTAAATTTGGATGTTCCTTGGTCTTTTCAAGAAGACTATTTAAAAGTTTCAAAGGGACAGAGTAAAGTTTGGTTCGAATATGATGTAGACCTAACTGTTGATTTACATAAGGTAGTAATGAATCAAAAGAGACGTCGTGTATTGCAGGTTTATTGTACGAACGATGTCCATGACTACCCTTACGTCTCTGAGTATTGTTAAAAAGTCCCATCACATTTACATTATTACACTGTGGGCTTGTTAGATTTCCTACACTATCGACATTGTCATTACATCCATAGGGAAAGGCTGTCCCTAGTTTCCTAATCCAAACTTCTTCACGTTGTCTACGGAAAGGTGTACTCAAAGATGGACTATTTGTGTGGTGATAAATCTTTTCCAGAATTCTAACTTTCATTGATAAAATAGAATGATCAGGTGAATTAAAATGTTTATATAAAAGCTGCTGACCACCATGATTTATTTGAAATCGATGACCTGATATTCTTTTGTTAAGCGTAAGTAATTTGATTGATTAATTATTATGCCTGGAGTGATGAAAGTATTCCAAAAAGTCTGTCAAATTCTTAAAAACATAGTTGTTTCACACTCATGATGGTTTGTGTCAGTGTCCCTTGTGCAAAAAATATAATTGCTTTAATAAATTCTCAAATAATTTTATAATATTTTAGATGTTAATGACTAAAATGATTGATCATTATCGAAATAAAATATCTCTTACAGACATGATGAAAAAAGGCTATAATTAATCTTCATAGGATATATCATAGGATATGGAGATAACGAACAATTTTCAATCTCAAAGTCCATAAAACAATACAAAATAGGAGCAAAGCAAACACAGACCTCCGAAACATTAGAGGTGGGATCAGGTGCCATGGAGGTGTGAGCATTCCCTGCTGACCGGTCACACCCACTGTAAGCTCCTTGTCATAATAGTGAAATAATGGAAAAATCCATCGTCAATTCAGTGTTTAAATAATGGACGAACAATTTGTATGAAAAATGTCTGTCAGCATTTTAAGATTTACATATTGTAAATCAATTGTAAATCAATATGATTTACAATATGTATATCAATATGATTTACAATGTGTAAATCAACTTTCAGTCACTTTTCTTGGCTTTACAGCATTTTAAGTCACAAAGTACATTATGTAGTATTATTTGATAATAAGGACTTTCAAGTAGGCATAATTCTGCTTCAGGCATAATTTTAGTTTTTAGGTGTCATTTATTTTTCCAGGGGTAGCTTCATTGCATTTTTTCGCCTCAAATCCCTGCTTGACAAAGACTGGTTTGAGTGTCTGCTCTAGAGTCGGGAAGTAAGGAGTCAATCCTTACATCACATGTTCAAATCCCACTGTGGGATTTTGGAGACAGTCCTTCGGATGAGACTGTATAAACTGAGGTCAGTGTATGTCAAGTGTACAACAAAACTATATGCATCATATCTATCATGTTTGTTTTAGAGGGAGCTAGTATCAAAACCCCACCTCCCCACCTGAATCTGTCTACCTGTTTTATAATTTTTGTGATAAATAAATGTATGTGCCTGCCGCATGTAGTTATCATCATGAACATTCAATAAACAGTGATAAATAAAGGAAAAATAATCTTTTGCAAAGCACTTAATAGCACAATATTATGGCCAACTGATTACTAATTTAACATGTTCAAATCCTATTTATATACACGTACAATTTAATTTTGCAAAATTTGTTTTGTAAACTTTGCTTATATTAGGTATTTAAAGTCATTGCCTTATACTGGAGGGACAAGCTCACTTAGAGACAAATTTTAAAGATTTAACCTTTGAAAATGATGAATAACATCTACACCAAATAAATTTACTTTTAGCATCTAACATTTGAATTTTCATATGCAAATTAATATATAATGTTGTACAACTTTTGCCTTCATGTTGATTAACTTTTAACACTGAGCCTTAACTTTCAGGTCTCTTATATCAATATTCTGAGTCCGCCAGTCGCCCATGAAATACAGGGGTTGTACAGAGATTTGGACAATCTATCATCTACAGGATGAAGTCAGGATCACAAACAAATAAGAAAATCTGTTCAAGAACTTCAAGAAACTGTCCACTGAGACATAAAAACATGTACAGAGGCTATTTCAAAATACACACAAAGCAGGATTTGTCAAAGTTGTAAGACCCTAGGGCCAGAGGCTCAAGGGATTTTCTGATCAAAATTTGTCTGTTGTATATTCATGTACTTATCATGCTTATTGTGAGTATTGTTGCCCTTGTTGTCATCTTTGTATATAAACATTAACATTCTCCACTGGGCCACTTTCAACCAATTTAAGGCACAAAGTATTCTTGAACAAGAGAATAAATATGATAAAGGTTATAAGAAAAAAGGTTTAAAGAAAATGTAATGCCTCTTTCCTAAGGATAGCCCAGACATGAATGCTGTCTTGACATGTAAACATGTAGCATCATTGCCCTGGAGGATTGGGTACAAAGCCCCGAAAGGTAGGGCGACAAAAAAAATAAAGATTTTAGCTCATCTGAGGAAAAAACTCAAGTGAGTTTGTCTTATCACCTGTTGTCTGGCCCAGAAAAACTGAAATTTATGTTAAAGCATCCTAGGGTAGTGTATATTGTAAATTGTTCAAATCTTGAGACCCGGGGTAGGACTGGGCCACAATATTGAATCAAAATTTTACATAGAAATATGTAGGAAAAAAACTTTAAAAATCTTCTTCTCAATTAAGAACCACTGGGCCAGAAAAGCTGAAACTTATATGAAAGCATCCTACATTGTCCTAGGGTAGTGTAGATTTTAAATTGTTCAAATCATGACCTCTTGGGATAGGGCGAGGCCACAATAGGGAGCACAAGTTTTGAATTGTAAGATATTGGAAAATACTTTAAAAATCTTCTTCACAGTAACTACTGGGCCAGAAAAGCTGAAACTTTTGTGGAAGCATCCATGGTTAGTGTAGATATTAAATTTTCCAAATTATGAACCATGTGGTAGGGTTGGGTCACAATATGTATTACATGTACTGTACAGTGGGGGAATGACTGGTAAAGAACAGCATGGTCAAAGCTACTCAGGTGAGCGATTTGGCCCATGGGCCACTTGTTTAGTATTAAGTGTACACATGTATATTGAGTATATTCAATGTTTTGTAGTTGAATATGGAAATTATTTCATGTGTGGGACAGGATATTTTGTCTCATTAGTGAAATAAATTCCATATTATTCAAATATGAAACATTGAATTTTCTGTTTATTACATTTTCTTTGATTTTCCCTTTGTCTACCTCTTTTTTGTAATGTAGTCATACGCTACATGATGTCATAGTTGAGCGGTCGATACGTCAGCTTAAACTAAAGTGAAAAACATTGTAAACATAAATTTCAGCAATTAACATATTTGGGGAATGTTCGCAGTCTTTATCTCTGTCAGAATGGTTTATTAACTTGTTCTCAATCTTATAACAGGCCAAGGAATATTTTTTACAACATTCCTAATTCCTCAATCTTATAACAGGCCAAGGAATATTTTTTACATCATTTCTTGTAATGGTAAAGAAAATCTGGAGTTTTCTCGCACTTCTGGTATTTGTCACACTGTGAAAGAATATCATTTTATTTAATGAATAAATTACAGTATTTCACTGTTTAAAATGTAATAAATTGGTGTATCTAATGTACATCTCAAAATTCTCAAAACACAAATGAATTTTTTAGCTGTAAGTGCTTTCTGTTACTTCATGGCTTTTTAATTCAGACAAATACAAAATTCAGTACTGAAGACAATATTCCGTATTCATTGATAAATTTATTATACATGACCTTCTTAACTTCCTTGACATCAGAGAATGGAAACTAACATTATAATACACACTATTTCAAATGCCTTAATATTTCACTCTATTTTATAGGTGTTTTTGACAAAGAAGGTTTAAAACCTTTGTGGACATGGATTTTGAAACTTCTTAAAACTCTGGAAGGATGAGGAAAAGGAAAGTGGCATTGAAATGGAACATGTTGGACAGGGTTATCACGGTAATGTTGATTTTGAACATCCATGCAAAAATTTGGTATGATATTGCATATTACAGTGTATATTAAGAAAAGTTCAACACATGCATTCATTATCTGACATGTATTTAATGTATGCCCTTTGTCCACAAAGAAATTTTTAAATCTTTTTATGAGGCTGATTGTATGAAATGATAGATAAATCGGCAGAATGCTTCACTTTTTTCTTATTTATTTAATTCGAAAATGAACATATGAAAATGTACATGTCACATTGGGGAAGATTTTCAGTATTTTTAAATTGGATGTTGGAATTTGTATCTTAAATGGGAAGATGGCTTTTCAAAGAACATTTAGGTTTTGATTGAGATCAGGCCGTAAGTGCCGGGCATAGGCCTAAATTTGCAGCCCTTCACCGGCATTGGTGACGTCTCCATGTCAGTGAAATATTCTGGAGAGGGACATTAAACAGTATATAATCAATCAATCAATCACCCCTATATACTGATTTGACACTGGCTGCATATAGTTTTTACACAGAAATATAATCTTACTTAATATTGTGACTTCTTTTTTGAATGACCCTAACCTAGGGATTAGTCACACTTTTCCTGTGTAGAATGTTTAACATGTTAAAAGAAAATATGGTTGTATTTTACTTTCAATTGACATGTCTCAGAGAAGCATCATGGTCCATATAGGCTTTTAGTCAATTATAAATCTGAGTACATTTTACACAATTTATTGTGCGATTATATTAAAAGTTATTAAATTTTATGCATACAACAACAGACTGATGTGATGACAGCATATCAGCACTGCCTTAAGATTGGAGTTGAGACCTTGTATTTTTCACACAGAAAATAAAGAAAAGTTGCTGAATGAAACAGATACTCACAGAAGCAAATGTAATGAGCCCAAAATAATTGTGATCAATTTTGAATGATTTTATTCTCTGGTTGAAATGTTATTGAAATGATACATACTGATCCAATTTTAGAAGTGGTTGACAATGAATACTAAGTAATTTGTTGTATATAAGTATAATGGCTTATTTTAAAACTGTATAAAGCTTATAATTTTTATATCAAATGTAATGATATTGTGTAGGAATCAATTTTTTTAAGGATAAAAGATGTATTTTTTTTCAATCAGAATTTCCTAAAAAGACTTTCTAATGTAAATACATGTATGGATATTAGAAGATTTTAATATTTTCTTTTACTGTCATTGAAATACTGTAATAATGAACTGCAATTTTACACAAAAAATGTTTTAACTTGAAAGTTTCAAATTTCAAGGTTTTATGTAGTTTGAATTGTGGCTCATATTGCTTTTTATTGAACTATCTCCCTTAACCTTAGATTTGTTGTGCATTCTATGTAATAAATTTAATTTTGGAACATATGGGGAAGGTCTTGTTTTGAACTCTGTTGATTTTAATTCAAGTAGAGTAAATGTGTTTAATAAATGTACCACTCTGATTAAAACCAGATCCTTGATTCACTCCTTTGTTTTTTTTATTGTCTCTACCTCATGTAGCGACAATGAAAAAACAAAGGAGCGGATCGAGGATCTGATTTTAATCACATTGATATATGTACATGTATGTCTGTGAAAATAATTGATCTTCCCACAGAGTTATTTCCCTTGTTCACAATGTAAAAAAAAATATGAATGATATATGCACGACTGTTTTACAAAAAGCAAAGAGATAAATTTATTTTATATGTTTTATTTCTAGAATCTGCTTTTCTTACAAGTATTAATGATGTTGAAATAAACTGTGCTAATATTAAAAAATATTTTTATATCATTGGAGCTGTGGCCAGAAGTGTTTGGCTAATACAGCTAGGGGTTTAAAATATTTCAGAGTGAGATTAAAATACAGAAATATATTTTATATGGTAAAACATATATTTAGAAAACATCTTGTTGGTTCTTTTTTCAAGTATGATCTCAGTTTAAAGGAACTGGATCCAGTTGTATCAATATTTAAACTGTTGATACATTTGCGTCCTGGGTGTAAAAAGAGCTTACATGTACATGTATATTTTCTGGATATTTATTTAAATGCTTTTTGGTCCATGAAAAAGGCACAATGTGAAGAAATGTGAACATTTTTATCCAAACTTGACTTTTATCCAAACTTAACATTGGGGACAGGGATAATATACATGTACTAAGTATGTGTAAGAACATGATCAAATGACACCTACATGTAACAGTCAGCTACATTTAAAAGGGTTATGTTTTTAAGTATGCTAATTTATTCTAGGTATGACTAGGAAATTAGATTTGTGTGTTTGTGTTTTCATACATGTTTTTTACCCCCCCCCCCCATCCATGCCTTCAATAAAAATATCCTAAGTGTTCTGGAAAATTTATTAAACCCTAGAGATAGGGTTTAAAATAAAGAAATATGAAAATGGGAGAAAAAATATTGAGAAGCAGGATGGATGGATCTCATCCCTCCTTTCCAAATAAAATGAAGTTGGAAAAAAGAGAAGAACTTGTGTTTGTTTCAAAGGGGGGGGGGGGGGGTTAATTTCCTGCATGTGTAACCAACTTGACATGTTTAGGGATCCAGGTTCTGAGTTTCTGAGTCATTTAGATTACATGTAATTCATGATCAGTACTCATAGAAAAATATTTTTGTATCATTGAATATTAATTTGATATATACTTATAGCACTAGCTCTGAAATCAAAAAAATTCCAAGCCCCCCCCCCCCCCCCCGCCACTTCCATGCCCGAATGGATTTATTGGATAATGGAGCCCTAAGTATTAAATGTTCCTGAACCATGATGACGAAAATATTGTTTACATTTGATGTGTATCTTTACAGTGTAACTGTATAAAGGAATTGCTCATAACTGGTTTGTCAAGATCTGAGTTGTATAAAGAAAACAGACTATAGGTGTGAGCACTCTCCTTTACTGCGAACCTAATGACCTTTGACTAGTTCAAGAGGAACCACGTGATGTAAATTTAAATAACAATAACATTAGTAGGGGTGGATTTGGTATGAGTTTACTCAATGTAAACATTTTAACGAGGACATCATTTTAGACAAGATTGAAGCCGTGCAACAATCCAGAAAGGATTTCAAACTAGGCGACGGGGGCATGGAATTTGATATGTTTCGGGTCAAGTATCCCGAGGGAAGTGGTGGAGACAGAACCAAACATTTACAAGTGAATAAGGAGACTTTTTAAGAACAATAAAAGAGCCATCGTTCGGATCGTCAATCCTTGGGATAAATTTTGTTTAGCTAGAGCCATCGTCGTCACTCGATTACACAGTCAAAAACCCGAACATCCAGACCCCGAATGGGAAAAACAATGGAAACGCATGAGATTAGGAGATAGGCAATCCTTAGACCAGAAACGAGAAACCATAGCCATCAGGGATAAGGCCGAGTGTGATATCACTCAAGCTTGTTGATATGCAGAGTGGACGAAATTACAACAGATGTTAGCTCCTCAGTATCGACTGAAAATATTTTAGTTCAAGTCTACTTCGACTTAACTCACCTTAGAGCGCATCTTCAAAGGCTGGGGGTATGGAACTTGTTTGAACATATTGTTAGATGACCATCATTACGATGCCATCCTATCCATGCCGGGAGTAACGGGGAACCCCTATTACTGTGATCATTGCGACGTGGGGTACAGGAATGTCACAGACCATCGCTCCAATTGTTCTCATCGCTGTACCTATTGTTTAGGACAACACCCTAAATGTCCCGATGAAGGGATCGAGATAAAATATCGGGAATGCCATGGAATGTTTAAGAACAGGACCTGCTACGAAAATCATTTAAGACCCCATAGTAAGAAGACCACCACTACTGTCTGCAATTTAATGGAACAATGCGAGAAGTGTCAGTCCTGGATACCTAAGAAATTATTCCCTCATCACAAATGCGGAGGACAGAAACAGTGTAAGATCTGTAAGAAAATCGTCGATACCGATCATCAGTGTTACGTACAACAGAAGCACCAGAAGAAGAAGGGGAACGACACATTACAGTTTTACATCTATTTCGATTTCGAATGCACTCAGGAAACCGGCATTCACATCCCTAATCTGTGTGTGGCACACCGCGTCTGTCAACATTGCGGTCACTTACCCATAGACCAACCCTGTCCTCATTGTCAACACATGGGACCCCGTCAGCACCTATTTCAAGGACCAGACACCTTAAAGAAGTTCATGGACTGGTTATTACAACCCACAACAGGTACCAAGAATTCCACTTTAGTTCACGACGAGGCCATCATTCATATTTTTCAATGACCTTTCATTGATAAATTTATTGTGAAAGTCATCTTGTCCTGCCCCGACTTGATTTCTAATGAGATCATGCATAGCTCGTAAATCATCATCTGTTAGTAAATTATCGACTTCTCGAAAGTTAGCATCGGCAATGTCAGAGAAATCAAAAGAAATCGATTTAATATCGTCTGCCACAAGGCTAGTATCTCCGTGAAACGAAGAATCTGTAATGTCGTTGAAATCGGTCGAAGATGTACTGACAGTTCTACGTGAATGATGCATCGGTGTCGATACCTTCTCCCAGTCCATGTCATATATTTGATAAAAAAGGGCTTGTTCTCGAACGGTAGATCTACAGTATTAATAAATACAAGACACTCAATAAAATAAATAAACATTATGAATTGAATAAGCAATATTAAAGTCCAGAGAAATGAGAAATAATAAGGAAACTCTTACTGACTTTATCAGACCAAAGTTAACTCTCAACTTGTTTCAGTTTCTTTTTTTTTGGGGGGGGGGTTAATTCTCAAAGGGGGGGTTAAAGCCCGTCATTTGTCCAATTGTAAATTTTCCATCATTTATTTTTTTTACTAGATAAATATATTTAGTTTAGTACACGACCCTTTTTTTCATTTCATTTCCGTGTGGACATGAAAATAAAATACCATTCATTGAAATTCAAAAATGTTTAACATTAAATTAATACACACTCACTCACACACATACACAAAAGTCAAGCGA